CGTTATTTTTGAAAGATCCTTTCGATGTATGTTGTGGGGATAGGAAGAAGAAGTATTCTACGTTAAAACATAAAAGTTTGAAGTAGGTAGCAGTCTAGCAGATATGTATGTTGTAGTTCACATATAATAAGCCTAACAACTCTAACGCCATGTTTGTGTTTATGTCAAAGAAAATGCACTGCAGCTGGTAAATATCAAACAACATCTGGGTGCTATGCTGGCGTTTGCTATCTGCCTAAGTATAAAGACTTTTCCTTCCACACATATTCTCCTCTTTTCAGACATATTTTCCTAGCTACCTTGAACATCATTATCTTCAATAGCCACTACTCCCCAAAATCTTCATATATATGTATATATTTATCACCCATACGCCTGAGCAGCGCTATTTCCATCTAGAGGACAAAATGGCGGGTAGTTAAGTAGGCATATGATGCGACACAACAATGTCCACTTTGACGCAGCATGGAACCACAGTATCATTCCCGGGATTTTGTTGATACGGAGTTAACCTAGGCTCATCGTCTTGCCACCTGATTGTCGCTAGCCAGCCCAAGGCCACGGAAGCCAGCGATTGCACCTCCCCGTGGTCTCCTGCGAGTATATGATATCCAAATAGGAGATGTGTTCCTGGCTTCACTGGATGCTTCGAACAGTGGATACATTAGAATCATGGAAACCGATACCTGTTCCAATCATCCCATCGTATACAGAACATAGCTGTTCGAATTCGTGGTTCGGTGGTAAAGGAGGGCGACGTTGTAAGTGCCTCTAAGATATGAACATCTCGGTATACCTTGCTAACACGGCCAGCTTTCTCTGTGTGCCGCCCAGCAGGCAATTTCTGCACTGCCTAGAAAAGATCCTGCGAGTCACGCTGGGTAAATCGAAGAGAGCATCAAGAAGCTCTTCCCGGAAACTCCAACGCACAGCGTACATGGTGATTCCAGTAGTGGCGAGCTTGAGGCTCCCTCCATCCCGGTGATTTCGCCTACCAATCTAGAAAGTACAAATCTAGAGAACCTGGGTGATCTTGTGGAAACTCCAAATTGGTTCAGAAATCAATGATATTGATGAATGTATATATCACCAGTCACGTTGTATGATCCAGTACTTCCTTAAGCTTATCTAGAATTTAGATATTCAGGTCTCAATTGAGAAGAAACCGGTGACAGAGTAGCCAACCAGTAGCCCATACATTATGAGTCGTGTGGTAGAAGAGTCCTGGAGCAGCTTGGATGGTGGAGTACCCCGAGCGCAAACTGTCACTTCAACTAGAAAGGCCTTACACTACCTGTAGTGTATATTGCGACCAATGTACAACTGCATTTTAGCGGGTTGCATATCAATGTCAACCGTGAGTCAAGAGAAATTGCGAGACTAGGAATCGCGTTGGTCTGGGAATACAAGAATGTTGTATCTCAGTGCCACTGGATCTCACCCATTGCCAGCCCGCTGTTGCATCCAACGCCATACCCACTCAACCAAGATGCTCAAGTCTTGCGAGACCTCGAGCACCCTAGCAATCTTCTTTTGTACATCCTGGAGCCCTGAATCAAGGTTATCCATACCCTGCATTTCAGTGTCGCCACCTGCTTCACCGTCGACTAACCCAGCAGTCTCCACAACTGAGATCTGCCCGTTCAGCCCGACTTCAAAACAAATCGCGATTTGTCTTGGGGTTTGAAGGGATCGTGTGGTATCGGGGCGGCTCTCGTTGTAGTTCTTTTGGTCTGTAATGAGTAACATGAGAGCAGGCGCTTGACCGAGTTGGATACGCAATGTCACATCCACTTTGACGTCGTCCACGGACAGTTGGTTGGGACTCTTTCCTCCACTGGAGGGGGTTGAAATTCCAACTCCAGAGTCATGATTGCTATCATCCGAGCTACTCAGACCCAACAGCAGATTCAATCTCTCCTCGTTCGGATCATCGTTGTTCAATATTATGGGCCCGTCGTGGCCAGCGAAGAGGTCTGGGGTTTGGGCAGGAGGAGTGCGGGTGTTTTTGGGGGTTGCGTTTGAAGATTCGGTTGTGTTGGCCTGATCCTTGGAAGGAAGATGGAACGTCTTCCGAATCAAATTGGCTAACACGGCATACTGCCGCAGGATCTAAAACTGGGTTAGTGAAAGAAAATATCTAACGAAAACACACATACCGGAAGGATATCTGCGAGCTGTCGGGGGTGGGAGAAGGGTAGGTCGCGGATGGTGCAACCGGTAATGGACTCAAAGGATTGGAAAGTGTAGTTATGTTGTTTCGTGTATTGCTCGCCCTTTGAGTCAACAGCATGCACTGACATCCGGCGCTTTCTACGGCCAATTTGAGGGGATGAAACCGGCGACGCCAACGACGAAGATTCTGATACTAACAGCGCATCGTATGTGATCATCTTGAACTCTTGTGGTAGCTGCATACCAAGCTGACGATAGATCTCGGAGGCTGCAAGAATAGGAACGTCGAGCGCAGGCTCAAGTTTGCCGACGAACCGGCGGTTAGGTGGCGATGATTCCAGCATGCTAGAATCCAACGCCATGGGGTCATGGTTGCCATGGGTCAACCGTGTGGTCTGTGGAGGTTCAAGCCAGTTCACAGACCCAGCGGCACCATTTGATGGAAGTAACTCGGTGCTTTCACCTGCAGTAAAAACTTCACTCCCAACCCATTCCTTTGAAATGCGGAGTGACGGATAGCCCTCTTCGCATTCAATCATGACAGTCCATGATCTGCTTTGGTCGTCTAACTCGCCCTTTGAGCCTTGATCATGTTGCGGGTCAATCTCCATGGCATCCGGAGATAATAGGCTGTGTTTCGCATCCAGGACTTTGGCTTGCTCAACCCAATACTCCAATCCGAGCCCGATTCGAGTCCCCTTATGCATGGTAGGACGTCCGAGGACACCTGCACAAAGATGCTGATACTCGCCGCCGTGTTTCCCATTCTTGCTTTCTTCCACCCAGATTCGCCTGAAGTTCTCTTCAAGATTCTCCAAGGCCTCAAAGCAATTAACCTCTTGACTGAGTTTGTCAAGTTTTGCAAGCCATTGTAGATTTTCGTGGAACTCTTGGAGTGACCTCCATTTCCCGCACTCGGCATCTTCCAGAGACTGGGCGAGGGTACGTTTCAAGACCGCTGTAGCTTCCTCGCGCCGCACACCTTCCGTGTATTCAGGCGTGGCATATCGCAGACTGACGTCTTTGACGACATCCTGGCCAGGGTAGAAATCGATCTCAAGATCGACGAAGTTACCGGCGATGTTGAGATTATCGTCCTGCCAAATGGACTCGAAATCTTCCAGTCGACTCAGCCGTTCTACGCTTTCGCGCGAAACTCCTCTACCAGATACTCGGGCCCGTAGAAGCTGAATGACCTCCTCAACGCGATGTCTCTGCTCTTCGTCGTTGTCGCGCGCGACTCCGAGCTTGATTCCCTGCATGCCGAGGTTTTGGATGTCGCTCTCGTTCATGCCCGCCCCAACAAGACCATCATGCACCGCAGGAGAAGGACTAATGCCAGTATACCCACCAAGCGCCAAGAGGGCCGAAGGCGAACTGAAATTGACAGTGTCGTCGACCCCGTTAGGCACGGCGAGAGGGGTAGCGTATTGGTGGGATGAGGCACTCATGTGATGTGCATTGGCAGGTCCTGAGCCCGTGGGTGTTCTCATTGAAGGTGATTTATGGGCGAGAGATCGAGACAGAGGAGCGGAGGATGGATGGGGAGAGGAGAGATGGGTTGGTGTTGCGCCAGGTTTTGCTGAGGGAGTCGCCATGGTCAAATGAAATGAATCGCCAGAGCAGGGTGCGAAGAGTTATTGAGGATTAGATACAGTCAAATCCGTGAGAAAAAAAATTGGGTATCATAAGAAAGTATTGAAGCACAGAACGCAAGGAATCCGGGTATCTTTGAATGCAACTCAATTCTCACCGGCGCAAGTGCCAGTTTGGTGGGTGCACGAAGATAAAACCGCCAAATGGTTGTACAGATCAAGTATCATAATGCATCCGAAGCTCCCCCGTTCCCATGAACACTGCAATTAACAAGCACGATTCATTTCTCAGAGAGAACATTCCAAACAGACAGCTCCCGAAAGACATGATCACGTGTGTTTACACTGTTTGTCTTCATCGTCATATCCTTCTGCATCCAAGTGAGAGCCAGAAATGTATGAAGGAGTCATTTTCCATGGGAACTATGAAAACAATTGTAACTTATAATATCAAAGAATCAGGGTACTGTGTTAAAAACAAGACGTGATCCATCTTACCCTGGCCATCCGAGGTTTGGTGATGTCCTCTAATTTCGTCCTGCTCTGATCAATCCTCTATATCGGGGCTAATCCTATGTTCTAAACAAATATCGATAATAGGTTGATATCCAGAGTTCATCCCCCTCCAAGCGACGGATATTCCACGATAATCCGCATCTAGACTTGCCCCATTATCTATCAGCAATCGAAATTCAGCTGCTTTCTCATGTTGTATTGCTGTGAGTAACCGTGCCAAGCGCCCAACACCAGGTCCCCTGGTGTTGGTGCGCCCCGGCAAACGCAAAATTCCCACCGAACGCAAAATCCAGAAAATTAAGTATCTTTTGTATGGCTTTCTAATACAAAAGGTACTTAATTTCTAGATTTATATAACATGCTTTTTCTCAGCACTCGAACTAGCTAAAGTAATAGAAAGTATACGAATATATAGTACGAGTCTAGCTTAATTAATTTAATGGTAGTATTAATTGTTAACATTTAATACGGAGGAAGAATAATTATTTAGAAATAGCATTATATAGAGTGTATAATGATTAGATACCTAGATAATTTCTTTATTTTAGCATACTTAATATTCCTTATCGAAGTTTGTTTAACTAATATAGACCTCCTTCACACTATTTATATCTCCTTATATTTGCCCTAACTGGTTCGAGGGCCGAGAAAAAGTGTGTTATGCTAACGGGATACCTAAGTACCTTTTGTATTGGTAAGTTATATAAAAGATACTTATTTTCTAGATTTTGCGTTTGGTGGGAATTTTGTGTTTGCCGGGGCGCACCAACAACCGGGGACCGGTTGTTGGGCGCTTGGCACGGCTAATGCTAGGCTTTGTTCGTCTACATCCGCACCGTACTGTATCAGAAGCTTAATAAGGCTAGAGCTGTCATCCCTTGGAATAGCTAGATTGAGTGGTGCCTGTGGTCGCACTGGTCTTCCTGGTTGATAATCTATAGATTGAGAAACCTCCCTATTCGGATCGGCCCCGACTTCCAATAGAAGTTTGACTGTACTTAATGGAGATGGGGCATATTCGAGCGCGCCACATAGAGGGGAGTGACTCTCTATATGTAGTTGAAAGTTGACATTAGCGCCTTGGGAGAAAATGTATCGTATGCGATCATTATCGCCGCGTTCTGCGGCGTATTTCAACATCCAGTAGAGGTCCATGTCAGGGCTTGTTTTGCCGTAAGGATATTGACGTAGTTTCTCAAAGAGGTAATCTTCAATATTGTGGTGTCCCTTTGAAGCCGCCTGAGCAGGTGGGTATTGACCTATAGTGTCGTGTGACAGTTGTTTTGCGCCTTGATCAATGAGAGCGCGAGTTAGAGCAAAATAACCTTCACGTGCTGCGAGGGCAAGAGGGGTTAAGCCATCGGCGTCTCGATAATTAATATCCACGCCTAGATCAAGGAGATGCTCCACGATATTGAGGTGCCCTTGCGCTGCTGCATAGGATATTGGATGCTCCTTCATATTTTCTTTCCAGATAAAGCGTCTTAGGCGTGTTCCAGGCTTTTGTACGGAGCAGGCGAAGTATGGAGACTCCCATTGGATGTTTGCCCCGGCATCGAGAAGACGCTGAAGGGCACTATCAGATCCAAAAGAAGCCGCCCAGTACAGCGCAGATGCGTCGTGATGCTGCACATTTAGTCGGTATAGGGAGTCGTTGAGTGTTTTGTAGAGACAAGAGTGGCATTGAAGAAGCGCATTCAGATCACGACATTCTAAGGATTCTGCGATGATCATGAGGAGCTCGGAAGGTAGGTTGAGGATAGACATGGTAGTTGAGAAGGAGAGAAAGTGAACCATATCACAATATGACTCAATGATCCAAGGAGATATAGTGACGCGACATTAATTTCCGCACCCCTAGCCCCACATCAATCAGACCGCCTAATCTATACCCTACCGCCTACTATATTCGCCCAGCAAGAAAACGCGCTAAAACGAACGTGTTGGTCAAAAGCCTTCATACAATGTCCGCTGAGTGACGAAGGCGGGGAACGTCTAGAATATCAGCTGCACCAGGACAAGCAAGATGATGAAAACGCCGAACATCTGATTTTCCAGCCCTTGGTAATTACTTTCCTCTATGAAGAAGGAAAATCCAATAAACCATGCCTACGATAGGTGAGTTAGGTTATATTTGTATCTGTTTTGGATACGGTGTAGAAGGTGGCTTGTGGCCTACCGACAAAATAGCGAGCTGCGCCTTGGAGTAGTATATCTGCGTTAGTGTTACATTCATGTCCTGACTTTTATTGTTGTTGGATTGGTTCTATAAGTAGCAGACGTGTTGATCAGCCAGCCCATCTCAGCAGAGGGTGACATCCTTGCCAAGTTTTGCATAAGCAGACGATTTAGAAGTTTGATAGGTTCATCACTCATTTTTAGGTCGGTGCCTGGGTAACTAAAGATCGCAGGGCTACAGGGACCGGGCTGCTAGGGATGCGTTCCCATCACCAATGACCAGTAATAATGAAGCCTCGGCAATTCTCTCCTAAGAAAATGATTAATAAGGAAATTATTTATGCTACAACATAGTTAGGTACCCTGTAGGATAGTTAGTAGTTATGTTGTAGGTCCTTGTAGGTTTTCTCCAACCTACAATATATAAACTATTGTATGGTCATCCACTTGTATAATCTTCATATCGAGTCTCCGTAGTTATACTTTTAAATGTGATACATCACTTTTAAAAAGTGATATATATATTCTGACATCATTCCACCTAAAAAGCAATTATAACAATAATGCAAACGGAGTAGTCCAAAGAAAAACACTTGATAACATTGAATTATATTTTGACTAGTTAGTTAACTATCAGACATCATGTTATTGCATTTATTATGTTTGTTTCGTCTTTTCGAGGTGACTTTTGCAGGATTATCTCAAGGTATGCAGGGCCTGTTACCTTCCAAGGAAGATGCATGAATGTTGTCATACAGCAGACCAATCCCCCACGGCTGTTTCGTGGCCCTGTGGAATGCATGTACTCTCGGTGGATCAAACAATCAAATAGCTGATGAATCTGGCCCAACCTGTAGCTGAGGTTTGCCCCCCAACCACCCACTTATTCTAGTTATTCTAGTTATCTGGATGAAACACCCAGTCATTCTATCAGCTTCCCCGCGATTAAATTCTGTTACGTGCACAGAAAGCTGAATTATTTCTCACCCAAATTTCACTATGGCAGTCAATGGAAGCCATACTACATCAACTGGGAATATCCTCGATCGGAGCGAACAGTTTTGGCGACGTGAATTCAAAGACTTTTCCGCAACGATATTCCCTATTGTCTCTTCGCGATACAAACAATCGACTCTCAAAATACTCACAGAAAACATTGATCTGGCATGTGGCGAGCTTGATCCTGTCTCGGCTGGGGCAGCGTTGGCCCTAGCATGGGGCCTCGTTCTCTCTCGATACACCGGGAACGACGATGTTGTTTTCGGTCTTGGACTTGAATCAGAAAGTAATGATTTTTCCAACACGCCAGTGTTGCCTTTACGGCTTTTAGTCGACCCCCAGCAATTAGCGGTGGACGCCCTTAACAACACCGAAGCCAGGATCATGGACCGATCTACATTCGGTGTATCCTCAATTCCGGAATTGTCAAACCTCGGTGGAGATATAGCATCAGGGTGTCAGTTCATGAACATACTCAACGTCAGACAAGGGCAACCAAAGGATCCTAGTAGCTCCCAGAGCATCGAAACGCGCAAAGTACCTCTTGTTATCAATTGTGAGATCCGAACAAACGGTGTAGATGTGGAGGCCCTGGTGGATCCTTCTGCAATCTGCGTCGAAACAACACGCATGATGTTGCATCAGCTGGGCCATTCTTTCCGGACTGCTCTCACTCGCTGCTCTCGACGCACTCTTGTTGGCGATCTCCGATCTGTCAGTCCCCAAGGCTTGGCCGACCTGATGGAGAGGGGAGTCCAGCCACCTCCCCCATTGGTCCATGCCCGTGTGCACGATCTCATCGTCGCGCAATGCCAATCTCGCCCATCTGAGCCAGCCGTCGCTGCTTGGGATGGCCATTTGACCTACCATGAGCTTGATCAGCTCTCTTCTCGCCTTGCAACACAGCTCACAAAGCTCAAGGTGATACAGCCTGACAGAATAGTGCCTGTTTTTATGGAGAGATCTGTGTGGATTTCAGTAGCCATCCTCGGCATCTTGAAGGCAGGGGGTGCGTTTCTTCTTATGGACATCTCGTTCGCGGACGAGTATGTGAAACAGATTTGCGCAAAGATCGAAGCCCCGCTTGTTCTGATATCGGGCCGTCAAAATGATCGCGCGAGATTACTTGGTTTACCTGTTCTACCGGTCGGAGACAATTCACCGTTGGCTGACGATGAGGGAAAAGATACACCGTGCCTTGACATACAACCATCGCATGCATGCCATGGTCTTTTTACCTCTGGGTCCAGCGGGGATCCTAGACTCGTCATCATTGACCATGCAGCGGTATGCACTGCCTGGGCGCAACCTACTGCCACTCAACTCATGCTTTCATCATCATCTCGCGTCTTGCAATTTGGCTCCCATGCATTTGGTGCTTGCGTTGCTGAGTACCTTGGGGCCATGATTCACGGAGCTTGTTTATGTATAGCTCCAGAGTTGGGCCCGGGGAATGATACAGCAGAAGCCATTCAGAAGTTGAATGCCAATTTCATCACCCTGACCCCTTCTGCGTCTCGTCTCCTGGATCCCAGCCAGGTCCCCTCACTCCAAGTTGTGGTTCTAGCTGGAGAGGCACTAAGCCCTCTCGATCTGGAAAAATGGCAAGGACGAGTGCAATTAAAATGCATGTATGGATTGGCGGAGACTGCAGCATTCTCCTTGCTTGCCGATTTGACTGAACCAAACTCAAACTACCGGGAGATTGGAGTGCCGACTCACACATGGAATTGCTGGATTGTAGATACCAACAATGTCGAAGATCTGGTACCACCTGGCGGAGTAGGTGAACTGCTGCTAGAAGGACCCAGTCTAGGACGTGGTTATCTCAACGATCCGGCTCGTACAGCCCAGAATTACATTCCGGCCCCTTCATGGCTTATGCAGATTCGACCCGTGGAATCACATGGTCATCGCTGCTTGAAAACAGGGGACCTTGTTCGTTACTCTCCCAACGGGACACTGGAGTACATCCGCCGAAAGGATGTAACTGAAGTGAAGATCCGAGGGCAGCGCATGGACCTTACGGACGTTGAAAGACATCTCGCGCGACAGTATCCCACAGCGGCTCGTGTGGCGGTGGATGTCATCATTCCATCAGATGACATCGGCCATAATGGCGCTATGTTGGTCGGCTTCGTGTACATGGAGTCCACACAGTGTGATATGCAAAACGAAAATGAAATATTTGCTTCCTCGACGATCGAGAGTCGGGAAAAGGCCACCAATGTTCTTTCCGTCCTGAAAGAAGTGCTTCCTACATTCATGGTTCCAGATATCATTGTTGTTGTCAACCGAATTCCAACGACAACTTCGGGCAAACTTCACCGAGACCGACTACGCCGTCTAGCCTCGGGATTATCCCGCAGAGCTTTACTGGAGTATGGGAATACCCAGTTACCTGGAGTTAACGGGTACTCTGAGAGGCTCGTACAATAGATCCTTCACGGAGCCTGTGTATGTGTATAGGCACTATATGTTGGATGTGGGGCTGGAGATAGACTTTCAACTAGATTGTGATCCTCTGGGCAAGTAGGTCATATCAATCCACACTGCATTACATGTAAATATAGCCTCATATTTCCCTTAGATGGTGAATATTTTTTCTGGCTTACATAGGTGTTGCGAGGTCATGTGACCTCACATGGTTGCCCAGTCATTTAGTCCCCACCATGTAGCCGTGCCAAACGCCCAACACACCCCGAAGTTAGATAGTTCTCTCTCTCTTCTTTTCTTCTCTGCGCAATTCAAGAGTTTCCAGTTCTATTCTACTGCTATCTCTTAAGAATAAGCCAGTTCCTTTAAGCAGGTAGGGGGAATTGGGCTCTCATCGCTGGTAGATTCGATCGTCATTATATAATTCCTGCAAACACACCCGATACTCTCACACTTCGGTGCTCGACTTGAGAATCCTAATCCTTTCTTTTTAGGATAAAGTGTATATCGATCATGGCAGCCAAGACCTGGCTTATCGTTGGTGCATCTCGCGGCATTGGCCTCGAATTCGTGCGGCAGATACTGGCACGCGGTGACAGAGCCATCGCCACTGTGCGCAGCTGTGGGAGCGCATTGGAGGCGATCGTTCAAGATGCTCCCGACCGAGCAACGATTTTAACGTGCGATGTGTCCCACAAGGAAGGTATCGATGTATGAACTACATTCGATCCTCAAGCAAGTGATTATACTGATAATGGCTAGATATTTATCAACCAATTCACCCAAACTGGCGAGCGGAAAATTGACTATGCCGTGGTGAATGCTGGAATACTGGAGTATCCAAACGTGAGACATATTCTCCCCGGTTGGCAGGCCATTTAACTGACAGGCAGCACTGTAGCGGGCGCTTGAGATGTGGGTATCTTCGAGTGGTAATCATACTACATAAACCCCATGGTGACCCTCTGCAGGACCTTTGACGAATGCGCCCACCACCTGCTCACCAACACAGTCGGGCCCATCGTATTGGCCCAGAAACTGCTGCAGATAGCCGATGTTGTGGTTGGAACCGTCGCATTCATGTCAAGTGACTCCGGCTCAACGCAGCGCTTCTTGTCCTTCAAAGACGGGTGAGCAGGAGAGCTTTTAAGCCTAGAAACGAGTGCCCAAATCTGACGAAGCTAGATTTGCTGCATACGGAGCGTCGAAAGCAGCTCTCAACCAGGCTCTGCGTGTATGCACCCCTTTCAGAAAATCACTGAAGTACTGGCTAACTAAGCTGAACGGCACTCGTAGCATATGGCTGAAGAGCTTAAGCGTAAGGGGCGGGATAATATTATTCTAGCGCTGCATCCTGGAGAGGTTGCAACGTAACTATATCGCTCCGCTGATGGTTTCCGGTGGTTGACCTGAATTAGCCACATGGGAAAGATCGAGCTCTCGTGGGATCTAGATGCTGGCCAGATCAGTGTCCAAGAGTCCGTTTCTGCCTTGATTGGTGTGATTCAGAGCAAGACTATCGAGCAGACCGGCACATTCTGGACTTGGGAAAATGAATACCCATGGTAAATTGTGCCATTTCTATAGCCGATTAAATGCAAAAATGACACACATGCATAGAGTGTGTGTTGTAGTTAGCATCTCCGTACACGTGTTATTCGAGTCATTACGCCAGCTTACCTTACGAGAGTGGTGATGTGGGAGAAGTAGGCAGGTGGTAGGGGGAAAGCCCTAGAGAGGGTAACATTAGTACTCCTAATCGGGTATAGCCCTACAAAGTGTGAATAGCTTCAATACTTCGTACATGCAATGGTATTAATACTAGGCGGTGATCTAATTCGTACGCGGTGAGGGAGGGCTAGCAAGGTGGTGAGCTAATCGGTAAGCAGTAGGAATAGATGCCTGAAAGATCAGGCAGGGGGGGGGGGTGTCGAATTAGACAAAGGGAGGTCGCAGTAGCAATTCTCTTTCATAATCGGGGGCGAAGTAAATTCTAGAGCTGCGGGGTAATCCTCGCTATTCGCTCAGCCAATGTTGACTGCAACTGCGAACAAATCTTTCCATTTGTACAACCTTTTGCCCAAGTTGCAACTGTACCTTAGACCTGATATCGATACCCTAACTGTCTATCTGTCCCGGAAGCTGCCTTGGGTGGTGAGACTGGAACAGCCTTGCGTGCGCTCACCAATAGATGAGAAACATCCACGGTCTTACAGAACTATAAAAGCTTTGATGTGCATATGCCGCACCCTAATTCAATCTTCCCAGTTGCTGTATCATTATCCACCATGTCCAGCCCCCAGCTCACCCTCATTGAAGCATCAGAAGATGACGCAGCCCGGATTGCAGACATCCACATGGCGGCATTTGGAACAAACCTGATGCTCCTCGCCCAGTTCCCAACGCCCGCCATTCGCGATGAGCTACGAGTAACTCTACGGGAGAAGGCAATTGACGAGATTCGAGACCCACAATGGGCTGTTCTCGTTGTTTATGATGACGCAGGAACGATTATCAGTTTTGCCAAATGGAGACGGCCTATTCCTGAGTCAGAGTTGGATAGATATATCGAGGGGCCATGGAAGTGGCCAAAGGGAACCAGACTCGATGTTTTAGAGGAATGGACGTTGAAGGTGGAGGAGGCGGGGGGAGAGATTGCTGGGAAATACACCATTTTATTGTAAGCTCAATCATTTGGTATTGACGGGAGAACTCATTCACTGACGGGGAACAAAGCATTGAGCTATATTGGGACTGATCCAAACTACGAAAGACGTGGCGCAGCATCCATTCTGGTGAACTGGGGTGTCGAACATGGCAAACATGAAAATGTACCGGTCGCCCTAGAGAGCACCAAAAACGCATGGCCGTTCTATGAGAAGCTAGGCTTTCGGGGTGAATATTTGATCTCGATGACTCTAGAGGATTTTGGGGACGGCGGTGCATCAGTCCTCTACGAAGAGATGTGCTTTCTGTTCGCACCGCACATGTAGCTCATCTGAACTAGGTAGCGCAGCGCTTATAGATCCCAGGGGGAAGTCCATGCAAAAGCGTTTGCTAGGGGGCCTCCTATCAATACAGTGGATTTTGTCTATAGATTGATACAATAACAACTGCTCAGCACCAACCATACTTCTCATTACCAACCCACTCAACCTCGTCCTCCAAGCCACTCCCTCCTCCATACCATCGGAGGCTACAGATTCCTTCGTTCTCACGATCTTCGTATCGGTACTCAATTCCCGTTCGCCTTATCATCTCCTGCACCGCTGTAGACGACCCCCATAATTTCACGGAATGTAGTCCCCATTCAGCAGCCTCAGCTTGTGCGGCCAAAAGGACCGCTCGCAGGGCCTCCACCTGCAAGTCCGACTCCAATAGAGCCTCATTCTCGATGACCAGCCGCAATATATACAGCGTATTCATGGAAGCTGTATCACTCGGGCTCTCGTAGTAGCGGTGCGTCCAGACAACCCAAACCCGATGTCCATCCTGTCCGAAGATGGCGCCTTTGATATGAGGTTTTCGTTGAAACAGTATCTCACTCGCAAACTCTTCCTTGCTATGGTGCCAAAGCATGTGCTCGTAATCAGGGACGATCATCAGCCGGGCTTTCGCATCGGTGGATGGAACGCACAGCGCCTTTCGGGACAGCACCTCGTCAATCTCGCAAAGCTGTTCCAAATCGGTGGTGAAGATAGGCACCGCAGCTGAGAGTTCCTCAGTCGATGGCTCAAACTCGAGGAAGTGGCTAGGAAAAGCATGCCATCCCAGGTTTGAATAAAACTCCTTTCCAATATCTGAGAAAAGAATACTAGCCGCACACTCGGTCATCTCGGTCTGCCAGGTGCGTAATTTTTCAGCCAACTCGGTCATGAGTCGTGAGGCATACCCTTGACCGCGGAATTTAGCATCGGTAAACACACTGGCGACGCCATGCGTGATCGTCTCGATGACGTTACCCGCAGAGTCGCTAATCCATGAGCGCTTTCGGAACGTTTCGCAGGATGCTAGGAGAGGTCGCTGGTCTGGAGGGAGATTCTTGTCCACCAAAATCCATTGGCTCATTCCTCCATTCCTCGCTAGTGGCACAGTCATCAGGTACGCAGCTTCTTTGATGTACATATCCACAGAAAGGCAGTCTTTCCAGGCGTCGGAGGTCAGTTTCCATATCTCTATGTTCTCTTGATCGGTAGGATGGGCGAGGTGGAGCCGCGGGGATCGTGCGTCCGGTCGGGGTGAGTGCTTGATGGAACTCATGTTGTCGTTTCTACACTCAATGCTTGCGCTTGATAATGGCGAGTAGGCGAGGTGACCGAGCATAACTAATATAACTAAAACAGAGTTCAGAGTCGCCGATTCATTCAGCCCTGAGAGGATAAAGTGATAGCAACAGCCCCAATGCTCCGATGAGACTTATACGGGGAGTGTCGATGTGAACCTCCTTTTTATGGGAGCGGGTCACTGCATGATCAGAGGGACTGTAATAGTACTAGTCTCTTATGGTTTCTGGGCAATGCAATCAGCACGATTCAGCCCTGCTTGTTCCAGTGCTTGTTCCAGTGCTAAGGCAAGGTCCCGTCAGCAACACGAATGTCGCGGGTGTCAGATATAGCCAGTGGATTGGCAGGGCCTATACCAGGTGTTTATCGCAGATGTGGAAGCTCTGCTGACCTGGCCGGTTGTCTTAATATTCAACCTATCCACACGTTGCTCGAATATTCCTTTTGCACTGGCAGCGACTTTCGCAGAACCCAGTTTTCGACCGAATCTTGGCATCGCCAAGAACCCAGTAAGGTAGTTAGGAAGGTCTTAGCTGTTTTAGGCATTTTTATGCCAAAAGCTGGGTTATATATTTTGATCTGACTGGGTTTTGGGCCTTGCAACGCTTACTCCTCGTTATAAGCTTTCATACATGCGCTGTGATACACCTGCCCAACAGACATACGTCCGTGTCGCCGTTCTCCTCAGATCGTCCTTTACGTTATCTCCGTCCATATACTTATACGATCTCGATCATATCCCGGAGTATGGACCCAGTCTCCGCCATCGGGCTCCTCGCCTCGATATCTACCCTCATCAACGTCAGCAAGGGGGCCTTGGACCTGCTCAGAAGTTTCAAAGACGCAGAGCAAGACCTAGCCGAACTTGCTAGAGATCTCAACCACTTTGACGAAGCTCTAAGGGGATTTGACCGGGTCTTCCGCAGCCGTCAAACCAAGCACAATGTCTCGGGTGATGTTCTTCGAGAGGCGATTGACGACAGCAATGCTACCCTGGCAGAAGTTGAGAAGCGCCTCACCCAGGTATATAAATCCGAATCCTCCACGCTTCGGCGAGCCCGCTTTGTTCGATACAAGTCGCGATTTGCAGCGCTCGGTGCTCGAATCCAAAATAAGTCCTCGCAGCTGCATGGGTTTATATCTCTTGTGCATGTGTTAGTGAAGCCCTATACTTCTTCCCTTTTAATTAGACTTTATGTGGGGATACTGACATGCAATTGTTGGATTAGAGAAACCTTCCTTGCTACGTGTAACCAGAATCCACAACTGCTCGAGGCCTGCACGGCAGTTGTCGACCAAATCGGGAGTGTGTTTGTACCACAAGACGATGGGACACCATTGCCCGTATTCAGCAATGCGCAAACCCAGAGCTCGTGCTCCAGCGAGGCAGTTTCTTTTAGTGGCGCAGAATCAGCGGTCGACTCTTCGTCCTCTCAAAAGGCTTCCGTGGCCTCCTCGACCTCCAGCGATAATTCAATACCACTCTCCCAAGACCACCCAAGACGCAGCGTTAACTCTCAGACAAGTGACCTAGGATCTGCTGTTAGTGCAAAGTCTGGGCCACTCGTTATTCGTCGTGCATGTAAACATAATTGCTACTGCAAGTGTCATGAACAGGGGGCCACGGAACCAAAGAACGGGTTCAGCGCCCGAATATTTCGCCAGGGTAGCCATCCGAAGATCGAGTGCTCCGATCCTACCTGCAAAGGAGCGGCTATGCAGAATTCTATCCCCATTTCGTCCTTTAAGAGGGCCATGTTGCATCTAATGTCATCAAACAGTATCAAAATTCGGTACCACATGAATACCTATCGCATGGTCCCCGAGGGATCCAACGCGATGCGGTACGTCAAGCATGGGAATCTGGGGAAGTTAAAGGCGGCCATTCAATCAGGCGAGGCGACACTTTGGGATACGGCGACAGACGGGTGGTCGCTTTTGCACGTATGTCAATGGCGTTCTCTGCGGATGTTAACCAACGCTAACAATGCCTTGTTGTGTAGACTGCTGCATACGCACGACAGCTAGAGACCGTCCAATATCTGCTTGAGCTCGGAGCTGACCCTGCCGTGTCCGATTTAGGAACCAGGTATCTACTATTTCCATCACCAGTAGTCCATTGAGCGTCTGTGCCATGCGCTCCAAGCTAACTTTTTTTTAGAAAACCTGTTGATCTCGCATTCCTTAAGTCTATTGGGGCAGACGCCACGCAAGTCGAGAAGGACATTGTTGAGGTCTTCTCCAGAGAAGATGATTACATCGATGATTACGAATTCACCCCCATTCACAACGCCGTTCTTGATCTGTATGAACACTCCGACCCGGAACGGCCTACTCTCCAACAAATAATAGACTTTGTTGACAACGCAAACAACGCGCCCCCAGACACAAACTGGGCGGCCTGGAAAACGGAATATCACTGTCGATCCCCGTTATACGTGTCAATTATCGAGAGATACCGGGTCTCTGCGGCCGAAACCTACAGCACAAACAGAGTGATTCATAATCTCACCGACCAAAAAGATCGCAAGTTCCACTGGACACCGCTTCACTGGGCCAGCGCGACCGGGCAGGCGCAGAAAATGAAGATTCTTGTACAAAACGGCGCTGATCCGTTCATCCAGTCAAATCTAAGTTTCAGTATCATTCATGCGGCAGTTGAGTCAAATGCGTGTGAGAGTCTAGGCTATGCGCTTGAACTCTCTAAGCACCATCCAGACCAGCTCAGTATTAATCAGGCCAATATTTGGGGTGAAACACCGCTTATAATGGCCGCGCAGGGCTGTCGGGTTAGCTGCGTGAAGCTACTCCTGGACGCCGGGGCCGATAGGAATATTCGACAGGAGAACCAACAGGTTGCCCTGCACTATGCAGGACTCTCTGACAGGGCTGAACTAAGGAGAGAGACGTTAGGGCTGCTTTGCAATCAGAATGGGACCGAGCTTATAATTGATGCGCAGGATGAGGATGGAAGACCCCCTATCTTTGACTTTTTGGACGATACCGAGTGTTTGAAGATCTTTATCAAACATGACGCAAGACTGGACTTGTCTGATAACGCTGGCAATAGTCTCTTCCATCAAGCTTGTATGCAGGGGGAGGTGGACTCATTGGAGACTTTGCAACGGCTATCAGGCAACGCGAAAGATATCGTCCGGAATAAGAACCTCGCGGGAAATACAGCACTGATCGAGGCACTGCGGCATACTAATGTCGGCTGTGCGATGGTGCTGCTGACACTGCAAGACGTTGGAGACATGGTTGGCCAAGACGCATGGGCTGCCGTCCACTATGCGGCAAAGCTGGGTGATACTGGATTATTACAGGCAGTGGTAAAACACCCTAATTTCGTCCGCGGGATGAAGACGAGGGATGGCAAGACGGCTAGGGTAGTGGCCACAGAGGCTGGGAATTGGCGGGGAGAGACAAAGCAATTATTAAATACCTATAACGCAGTAGTGTGATGTAGAACAAGTTGGGTAAGGGAATTGGAAACAATAAATGCTGCTGTCAAGGGAACGAAAAGTGCTCCTAGCTCAGCGACTACGATCACGAATAAAGGCATGAGGTTTGTTCAATGTGAATTAAAAGAAATTAAGAATAAATGTAGATTTTAATAATTCTGTTGGAGCATCATCCCATATATGCATGCGTGTTTGCTTGTTTGCTTGTTTACTAGCAGACTGAGCCTTGTCCAGACAGTTTTACTAGGATAGTTATATAAATCCTAAGATCATAGGACAATCGGAATGTCCGATTATCGCTGCAGCGCTGCAGCGGTATTTATACTAGGCCCTAGACTCGTATCGCTGGATTCTTGACAACGAGGAATTTCAGCAATGGCAATAGTACGATCGACTCATTACCGAACAGCAAAACGGTGCTCACCTCTATTATAATGAGTCTGCCTATTCTCGAAGCTCTCCAAATATGTACAACAGAATTGAATCACAAACGGGGAGAGGAAAAGGGCTCGAGGTCGCCTTCGATGTGCCTTCAAATATAAAAAAATTGGATACCTTCATTGAGCTACACAAAGGATCCAAGAATTCTCAAGGACATTCAGCGATCCTCACAATTCCCACAAAGAAAGACCGTGTCGCGATACAAGTGCTGTCAATTTCGCGGTCCGAGGCAGTGGCGAATGGTGGGAAGTACGACTTACCTGAGATATTCAACTCTGGCTCTCCCTCTGCTTTATAAATTTCACATCTACCACCATCGCTTCGAATGCACAATCTTTTGGGACTTTGCCTATGAATGTGTCCCTTGAATCATATACGTCTCAAAGTGTCACATTGGTCCCAGCTCGGTACACCCTAATACATCCAAGAAGGTCCCGTGATGCATGTGGGCGAAAAACGAGGAACCGATCAGTCGGATGGCCAGGTATCACTTTCAGCGTATAATATGTCCAATCCTTGTCGACTTCGACTTGGGATGTCTGAAGCTGCCCGTCTAGCTGGACGCCACTCTTGTTAGTTTCGAGTGTGTTGCAAGAAAGAGGAAAGGGTGGTAGACCTCTTTAGCTTTCCGTAAGATCTCTTCATCCCCATATGTAGCCAGCTGTATTTCCGAAACAATTTCCTCCAGGGCTGCCCAGGTGGTCCACTTCCTGTTGTCACGGCCCCGGGGAAAGTTAATCCCGTACCCATATTTTCTGCCTAATAAATATGGCATCAATCAGCATACAAGTCCACTTTTCTTTCGGACATAGTATTTTCACCGCCTGCCATTTCCATCGAGCTATGATCCAGCTCTCTCGAATTTGATCATAGCTAATCTACTACATCCAAAGCTCCTTGCTCCATTCACTGCAAAGTACCCTGTTTTATATCTACTTGCGATGTTTGCAGCAAGAATTTTTGGCCGACAGGTCCAGATTATTCCCAAATGGACTCAATTCCGTTGCGTATCGACATTGGAAGGGTCTCCGCACATCGTATGCGATTGTTGCACCTTACAGAGCCCTCATTGAAGCTAAATTCCTACTAGTATGTGTTTCCAAATGATGGACCAACAAGTGGAGCCCACGTCTTGTCACTATTACCCTCGGAGCCAGTCAACCCAGACCTGGCTATCGGGCTCGCGACTCAACTGCCACCAACAACAGACACCTTCAAAGAAAACCCAAAATTCTTGAATATAGTGCAAGAAGTGTGCTCAAAATATGCCCATGAAGATCCTGATGCCAAATCCCAAGCGCAGGTCATGGTGTCTGTGGCTGGAGCGAATCTGAACTCAGGTGGCGTGTTATTAACCGGCCAGCGCGGGAGACGTCGTGGAGCCGACTCGGCCAGTGGCGCTAGTGGTCAAGGTGGTGCAGGCTCGGGTGGACGTGGTGGTTGGATTCATGTCTCCGACAACAGACGGCCACCTGACTATGGGCGGATTGCTTGGTAAGGGTTTACCTATGTTTCACAAGCACGTTTATCCCATAGAGACTTATACTAATGCCCTTCAGGCCCGAGGATATGTTTGGAAGTCTGGAGGTAGATGCCAATGGTCAGTTCGTTGGAGACAATGGTAATTATCAGCCAAGTGGTATGTTTTCCGACTATATGAGACTCAACAGGTCAAGCTGATACTTAGCAGGTACCTATCGTATCCTGACCCGAGATGGAATGTAAGTATCCCCTTCTTAGATACTCTGCCATACTGGTATTTGATGTTGATCCATTTGTATAGTTTCGGGTTGAGCCCTTTCCTCAGAGAAAAGCTGGTTCAGAAGCTACGAGAGCTTGAGAAGTGATATCTTCAAAAATGGGCCACATCGCCCACAGAATCCTATGTAAAATATGTATCAACACCCACCAATCCACTCAGACTCTATTTTCTTTTCTTTTTCCAATTCGCATCTGGTTGCTATTGAATTTCTTTTCCCCAGTGTTTCTTTAACAACAATCTTCTTGCTCCTTCCTGGACTGTTCCCAACTAAACATATATTGTAGGTCAATTTGATTTCCTGCTTTATGGGGCTGAGCTTCCTTGATGGGTTAAATACGAGTGTGGTGTGTCGCCTACTAAACATTGTGCGGTCATGTTCCCATCTCTGCTTGACGAAAGGAAAAAAATATATATATTGGTCAAAAATATGGCCGACCAATAGTTAGAAAGAGCAGGTTTCATTTGCTTCATTGCATGTATCATCACTTCTTGAAGAAACTAGTAATTCGCTGCGATCCATCTGCTCCCTTCATCTCACTGGACTTCTTCATAGGGATATTACGGGTAGCACTACGCGACTTCTTCTTTTGCGGCGATACCCCCGTTAAATCTGAATTGATCTTTTGCTTCTTGCGTTCCTCCACAGGTCTAGCAGTTTCTGGACTATGCTCCCTTTTAACAGCTGGCACCGGCTTTGGGGCATTGTCCTCACTCCATTCCGAATCCTTAGTAGGGCGGTCATCGTCTTTAACCATTTTCACTTTCGGCGACAGAGTCTCCTTCTTTGGCGAGGGCTCTAGATTCTCCTTTGTTTTCGTATTAGCGAAGAAGTTTGCGATGTTGCTCTTATTCTCCTTGCTGTCGACAGGAACAATAAAGTTCGGGGAATTATTTCCGACTTTCCCAACTTCCTTGGGAACAGGATAGCACTCCAGTTCGCCTTCATATGGTTTGAGAAGTGATTGGAGGTCCTTCGACCAGGTCTTTTGGCTGGGATCCAGCCATTTATTCATCGCCTCACCCCCGGAGTCCAGTATGACAGGCATACGTTCATGCAGGAACTTCAGGTAGGAATTAGAAGAAGTCGTGATCACCGTGTACGTGTAGAGCTTCTCGTCAGAACCTGTGCAAAGTAGTCGTCAGCCCCATCGACACTTTATATCAGAAAAGCCTAGACATGCCTTCATACGAAACACAGTCCCACAATCCAGCGAAGCACATCAGCTCCCCGTCTTTGCGCCGGATAAAGTGCGGAACCTTTTCTTTGCCTCCAGGCCCCTTCTTCAGCCACTCGTAAAAGCCCTGACAGACGACAATGCACCTCTTTCGTCGCTTCATGGTAGTCCACATCCCCGAATCTTCAATCAACGAGTCATCGCGACAGTTTATTGTGCGCATCATGGACCCGTAATCCGGCTGGCGCTTCGTCCAGAATGGGATGAGACCCCATTTCATGCTCTGGAGCTTGTATTTGATAACCGTGTTGTCTTTTCCCTTTTCTAAATGTTGGGTTTGGTGCTCACTATCAGCATCTTGCTGAGCATTGTAACTCTCTTTGTCAGTGACCTCGGCGCGATAGACAGCACCGAAGTTGCCCGGTGCAAAGTTGAATGTCTCTCTGACTGCATCGTCGTCTGGTGCTTCATCCACTTGCATGCCTTGCTCTTGCATCCGTTGTTGGATGTACGCCAAGCGCTTGGGATCGTCAGCTGGCGGACAGTCTAGACACAGGAGCCGTAACATACCACGCCCAAAGCGTATCGTCCACACATTATCAGTGGTAACCACTATATTGGTTCAATAGCCAGGCCTCCGAAATCAATGCTGGATAAAACCAGTGCATTTTCCGGATAGAATGGGCGAGAAAGTGAGTGCATACTCTAGCGGGCGACGTCATATGGCGGAGCGGAGCTTGGGCCACCTAAAAACCGAGGGCGGGCTCTTCATCAACTCACCATTCACCATATACCCTCCCCCTCTCTCCCTCTCTCCCTCCCCATTATCTACGCCGATTTCCCAGGTTGTTTTAGACAATAACCCGCTCAATCAGAACTAAATCTTCAAGTCTCCATCGAATACCCACCCACACACTCCCAATGTTCCGCGCAGCATCACGGCGCACAAGCGTGCATGCCGCAAAACTTCTACATCAACAACCAAAGAGTCTCGCCCGCTCAATACACATCAACAGTACCACCCGACCAACACTCCAACCCCGAATCAACAATGGCAAACCACTCGCAAGCCCCTACATCTCCGGCACGCGGCACCTCACGATCATGCAGAAAATCGGCCGCAAATACCGCGAAGCATCTAAAGGAATCTGGCGCAAGAATCCGGTTCTCATGCCTCTAGCAATCTTCTCCGTTGTCGGCGGAGCATTTATTTTCGCCTACATCTCCTACGTGGAATTGACACGGGTCGGGCCACAGTACCACAAATTCCCACCACCGGTGGCTGACGCTCTCCGCACGGCGATCTATTACACTGAGATCGATCTCAACCCAGCCAAGGCGATGAAGGCGTACAGAGAGGCGCTACATATAGCATTTGAGATGGGCGTACACCCATACTCGGATGAGATACTTGGAATCAAGCTGCAGGTTGCTATGATGCTAGAGAAGGCTGGACTTATGAAGCCGGCGATTGATGTGTTGGAGCGAACGAAGAACGAGACTCTAGCCTGGGTAGAGGAAGTCACAGCAGGCAACGCTGCCGCAGCAGCTGAGAAGGTGAAGCAAGCGCAGGCGCAGGTGCAGAAGACCCCGGCCAATGTTCACGTTGACACCGAGGCGATTAAAGAAACCGAGGAGGATCTGAAAGCAATGGCGCAGTACGAGGCTCGCCAGCGAGATAAAGCGCTCAAGAAGGTCGTCGGCATTGCGATGAAACTTGGCGAACTTTATTCTAGCGAGTATATACAGGACGAGAAGAAAGCGGAGACTGCGCAGGTCGCTGCTGTGGAGATCTGTCTGAAGGAAATGCACCGGCGCCAGAGGCTGGGACTTCCTGTTGGAAGTTCTAGCAGTGGCGAGAATTCAGATAGCGAGGCATGGCTGAACCTCACTGAAATCGCGACGGCATTGGCTGAGCTTGCCGCTACATATACCGCCAAGGAGCGGTATGAGTTGGCCATGCCGCTGTATATGCGTGCGTTGGACTTGATTCGCGCCGCTGAAGGAACCTCGATTTCTTGCAAACAGGTGGTGCTATTGAATGATGTTGCTACCGCTCTGGTTGGCCAGGTTCAACTGCCCGCCAAGTCTCAACCGCAACAACCTGTTACAGCGGAGCAGACTGTTGAGGCTGCCCAGAAATGGGCGGAGAAGGCCATTGAGCTTGCGGCGCATATTGAACCCCCGATACGTGACGAGGAGTGTGACATTACTTGTGTTGTTGCAACATATAACCTGGGCGAGCTCGCTGAGCTACAAAAGAAGCCGGCGGTCGCTAAGCAGCGGTATACCGAAGCCAAGGCATTGGCTGACGGAATTGGATATGAGGAAGGCAGTATGATAGCCAAGGAGGCTTTGAAGAGACTTGGAAAGAAATAATCGGTAGATCTGTGAAGACCTCTGTTCAGCCTGATGTACATTATATATATCACCAACGTTGAAAATAGAAATCTCAACCCTTTCTTGTATATCATTTGACGCTGGCCGAATATGTACGTCCGGCGGCTACCGTGGCGTTGTCCTACATGAGTTGACAGGGAGGATGAATGAGAAGACATAATAGTTATATACACATGTATAACATGAAAAGACATACGGATACGACGACTTTACAAGAGATTTTCAATAAGAAAAATAGGAAACATTTTGATGCCTTAACTGGTATTAGAACATCACATGTCTTGTACAAGATTCCATACATTTTCCATGTGGATCAAGTAGGCTAAGACATGTCAGAAAACCTCCAGGCCGGGGACGACTCAGTCCCGGCGAGAAGTGCTTCATTGCTCGTGGCTCATACATCCCAAACCAATGCTCTTCTGGCCATATCTTTTGAACTTTTTTCAATTCCCTTGTCAATAGATCAAAAAGAGGCTCCTCAAGCTCCGATACAACAACTCAAATCTATGCGCGCGACATAACACCCCAGGCACGGATCTTGTTGTCGGTGTAACCGGCGAACAGGGTCTGGCCGTCAGCGGACCAGGCCAAGCTGATGCACTCGGGGTCACGGCTCTTCTTGCCCTTCTCAACGAACTCAGGCTTGAGCTCATCAACCTTGCTCTTCTTCTCGAGGTCGAAGATGGTGATGGAGCTGCTGGTGGCAGCGCACAGCCAGTAGCGGTTGGGGGAGAAGACGAGAGCGTGGATCTCATCGCCAGCGGAGAGGGAGTAGAGGTGCTTGGACTCGTTAAGGTCCCAGAGCATGGTGGTACCGTCCTTGCCACCGGAGGCGCAGAGGGATCCGTCGGGGGAGATGGTGACGGTGTTGATGTATCCGGTGTGACCGATGTGGTCGGTCTGGAGACGGCAGGAAGCGAGCTCCCAAACCTAGACGCGGATCAAATGTTAGCGTCGATACCCTCATAAAGAATGTCAAGTGTCAAGGAAAATTTTTTCCAATCCTTCTCTCGTTCAATAAAAAAAAACAAAAAAAATTGTTGCTGTGCCCATCAGGCAAAATGGGTGAAAAATTGTCTCATGGCCCCGAAGGGCTCTGAAGTAGCAAATACGTTTATGCAAACATCACGCGGGCAAAGCAAGGCGGGGAGGAAATTATGCAGGGAAATTCGGGATCGATAGCGTACCTTGACGAGCTTGTCCCAGCCAGCGGAGACAATGACGGGGTTCTGGGGGTTGGGGCTGAAGCGAACGCAAGAAACCCACTCGGTGTGGCCCTTGTCGGTGATGGTGAACTTGCAGTCACCGAGGGTGTTCCACAGCTTGATGGAGCGGTCACGAGAACCGGAGACGATCTGACGGTTGTCGGCGGAGAACGAGACGGACAGAACATCGTTGGTGTGGCCGACGAAAGTGCGGGTAGTGTTACCGGTGGAGAGCTCCCAGAGACGGAGAGACTTATCCCACGAGGCGGACAGAGCGTAGGCACCGTCGGAGGAGATCACCTATAACGCAGACAAGACCATCGGTCAGCCAAAACCATTCCATCTTTTTTTTTTTTTTTTTTTTGCGAAATGCGCCATCCAAATCCATCTGTCGCATCCAATGGTTTGTGGGTGTGGTTCATTCGGGAGAAGAAAAACGTACACAGTCAGAGACGATGTGCGAGTGACCCTCGAGGCTGCGCTTGGGGTAACCGTAGGCCTGCTCATCACGGGTAAGGTTCCAGATGATCAGGGTCTTGTCGCGGGATGCGGACAGCAGCATGTTGGGGCTATCATCAAGAATTCAAGTCAGAATTTTGCCCCTTCAAAAATTCAATCCTCCGATCGGGATAGGTCGTTCTTACTTCTCCAGGGAGGTGGCAAGGGAAGTAACCCAGCCATTGTGGCCCTCAAGGGTGCCGCGAAGAACCAGCTGCTCAGCCATGATGGGAATGAGACAATGAAGGAGAGAGAGGGATGGGCGGAGATTGTCGTTGACTCTGGGGGGTGAGGTAAAATCGAGATGGGAGGCAGACGTGCCCGCTCAAGCCCTAAGCCGCTTCGCTGCTCTCCTTGTGTGGTTCCGTGGAGCCCTAATACTAAGCGAAGCGGTCACATGACTTGCATCTATACAGAACTCCAGGCCTCAACTACGATGTCGAGATAAAGAATTGAAAGTCGGTTTGCGTTCAAGCTTTCTCTGTTATATTCGAAATTAACAATTGCTTTACTTTCTATTCCAAAATTTGAAATTTACATCCATTCATTCCAGTATCATCAAATATACAACAGTCTTAATACACGCCTTCTACTATGGACAATATGACCACTATGACAACTATAGTACAGTTTTGAAATCGACAAAATTCTCGAGTCCAATCTCTTCCAAAAGGCCCTTACGAGTTAAACACCTGAACATCAGGCATTCTTCCCAAGCCACCACCGCCAGTCTTCTTATTCTTGGCCTTCTCAAATCCAGTAGCACTTTTATCGCGAACATGCTCTCTAAGTAGCTTGAGAACCTCAGAACTCTGCCAGCGCGACGGAACAGGCCGGTAAGCCGCTCTGAAAGCGCCAATGGTCTGGGCCCATTCACCACTCTTGGCACCGGTCTCCTTCCAAGTCTCGGTGATGGTATCCTCCTTAGGAGCAGAGGGTGAGATTTCCTCTGGCGGGTCCTGTGTCGCCCAGTAGTAGATGTCCCAGTCGTTCTCATCGAGGAAGCTGTCGTACTCCACGAGCTGGTCGTAGTTCATCTTGCCCAGGTAGACATCTGCGAAGGTCGAGAGGAGCAAGTCTGACTCCAGGATTCCGCGCTTGCGGCTTTGGTCTGGGGTGGAGTTGGTTAGCGTGAATGGTTCTTGTTATATTGATGCACCGGATGCTCGGCTTTAACATAGCATGCATGGGAACGGGTACGAACATAGCAGACGGGCCCTCTTCGTGGCAAGCTCCTCCCCGACTCTCTTCAAAGGCTCAACCTTAAACGTAATACCCTCCATCTCACCAACGCCAAGCTCGGGCTTCTGCGCCCCGTTATCCTGACGACCACCGGTGAAATGCTCAATCCTTCCGGGGTACGGATCAGACGGTCTGTAGTTGGGGTCGACCGAGTTCAGCATCTCCGGTGGCGGCGGCTTCTGCCCGACATTGATGAAGTCATTTGTCATGGTCGAGGTTGTGTTTGGAATAAATTGGTTCGGGGCCTTGTTGGCTTGGTTTGCGCGGTGCGCCTTTACCTCTGGGGCAGCATCGTCGCCATCTTTGAGGCGTAGAGCTGCTGCGCCGAATTGGCGGTTTAGTCTTGTGATTGTGCTTAGGGATGACGGCACTGGTCGCGCGAGGCGATGGAGTATACGTGGGGCGGACATCCTGCTGTACAGTATCCTATAAAGAGAGAGAGAGTTGGGACTTTCTTTCCTCTAGGGATGAGGAATTGGCGTTGATGCTCGGCTTTGACATCATCCGGTGTAATAGCCCGGGGAACCGAAAAGCTCCTGTAGTGCCCGATGTTTGTTCTGTTTGCAACACTAAACATTCCACTGAGAGGCCGTGGATTACACACTTCTCGATACAACGCAGTTCCATAGGTTCTATGTGTCTATTGGGGCCTTTGGGGGCTTAAAACTGGCTCACTTTCGTTTGCTGTCTTGGCCTGTCTGTTTTCTTTTTTTTTTGTTTCATCAAACTCAGAATCTCTCTGCAAGACGCCGATCTAGATGTATACAGTGGCCTACCATAAACATATAACCTTGGAAAGCTCCCTCTAGGACTACCTACAAGATGTTTACTATGTAGACAGTACTTTACCAGCATGGGTAGATATTGACCCATCCATGAATACTCGGGTAATACCTAATTGGTCGAAAAAGAGCCCTGTAAAGTCCCCAAGATATCACATGCAAGAAACGGAAAATATTATTAACGCCAGGCTGCGGAAAGCATGGTGTACATTTTATATCATTGAGATCATGACTGTTGAACAGAATGCCACTCGACATTAGAGCAAAAGGATTTGCAATGCAACCGCTGCAAAACCAAAAAAGAACCATCAAAGATGCAACCATTCCATGGACTAGTAAATCTAAATAAGGTGCTTAGATCTGCAAGAACCGAATAGTCAGTAACCAATTCCACCTTCCACCACAACCACAATTCGACGTACCTAAAGTAAGCCCTCAGGTAAACAACCTGCCAAGCACCAAGCCCGATAAGCATACCCATGGTCCCGAAAGCGAACCACTTCACACGCTCATTGGTGCTCTCATTGGTATCACGCAAACGCTGCTCACGAGCACGCAGGTACTCCATCTCAGTAACGATATCAGCAACCATCTCTTCGATGCGGCGGAGGTCTGTCTCGACGGGCTTGAGCTTCTCCTGCGACTGGATGCTGTTCCAGTCGCGGGCGTCGGCGCCAATGTCGACATCAAGCTCGATGGGGCGAGAGGGGTTCTGGATGGTATCTGACGTAGTGGTATCGTTTTAGTATGAGTTTCTCTCTTTGACTCCGGCGTTTTCCCCCAATGGATCGTTCGCGTTGTTCGAAGGGACTACCACTTACTGTGGCCGACAAGCAGGTTCTCGAAACAGACGTCGAAAGCCGTGTCCGCGGAGGAAGTGAAAATTTGACGCGTCTCGCCGATGACATCCTTAGGACGACCGTGGTCATTGCCTATCGCATCCTTGATCTATATGGAGAAAAGAATTTAGTCGTGGTTCACAATTCAGCGGGCTGGCATCCAAGTCCCAGCAGACTCAGGACGAAATCCCATCCACATCCAGAAATAATCCCACATACATGGATATTGACCTTCTGGCCATCACCCTTCGTACCACCAACGATGGCAGTGACAACAACGAGCTGGTCCTTCGAGACGAAGTTGCGAATGCATCGCTCGTTCTTGCCGCCGCCGGAGGTGGCGACGAGGTCGAATTTTAGGGCACTGGCAAGCTGAACGAAAACAAAGAGGAAGCCAAGGATGGCCCTCAGAGTGATTGGTGAGGTGCCCATTGTTGCGGCGTTGAATTGGCGGTTGTAAACACGGATGCTTGCTGCTGTTGATGACACCTGGTAAGGGGAGTGCGGGATTAACTTTGTTCCGGTGTTACGGGCTCAGGTCTATACTTTTGACAGTTTATTGTTTCACACAGCGAGTATTGCTGCAGTCTAATAGTTTAATATTTATATCGGCTGATTTCTTACAATGTATTGGATGCATTGGATGTATGATGTTCACAGAAGAATGAAATGGTTTGTGAATGTCAGGGCATTGAAATTAGCCCGAGTATTGGCATGGTATCTCGAAATCCACGAAAGCAATCAAAGCTCAACAAAGAGACAAAATAGAAAACCCCGAAGTCCGTATTAATCGTTCGATGCCACGCATAAAGGTAGACAGTAGAGTGGCGCATGAAAGCGCAAGAGACAATAAGAAAAAGCCACCTGGTCGTAGCCGTAGTAAACAATAAGGAAAAGAGAAACATGACTCTATGTGAACATAGTAAGGGAAAATAATGATAAAGAAGGCAGTGTGCTGTTGCACAAACAAGAAAGACCAAAGCGATGGACATGATATGTAGATCGTTAGATGAATTGGAACGCTCAGCAAAGCAAGACATTAGTCGAGAATGTCGTCAGGTTATTTTCAGCCCATTAAGCCTCGACCTTCTTTCGGCGTGTGAAGAAACGAGAGAAGCCACTGTCCTTCGGCTTAGCTCCCATTTGCGTTGATGGAGGCCGAGTAGAACCCGGAGGAGGCCCTGTATTTCGAAGGAAATCCGCCAAATCACCGGTGTTGGTCTGGCGGTTTGAGATAGAAGGCATGGTGCCATTGTTGCGCTCCTGGCCAACCTTGGCAGAGTAGTTGGATTGGACATTGGTGGGGGCGTTTTGTGTCCGCAGGGAATTTTGAGAAGTACGGAGCAGGCGGGCCTTCATGCCCGATGCACCGGAAAGATCATTTGACGCAGGAGTACTAACTGCAAATGGCTGTGGGGGTTGTTCGGAGGGGGAGGGGGAGGGGCGCTGCGCAGGAAATCCATCAGGCTCTCCTCTTCGCGTCTGGGCTTGGGGTTCGCTTCCTTTTCCAGAAGCTCTTCTAGAAGCGCGTCATCGTCATCGTCGTCGATGGCGTAGGGATCGGGAGCACGGCGTTGCTTCCGAACAGGCTGGGGCTCGTCGAACTCCGTGACGCTTTCCGATGCCGTAGTCTTGTTTCTGTTAGAATCCAGCAAACCGGACCGCGAACCCAGAGACGTCAAAGATTTATTGGGCGTAGATCCATTGCCGGTGCTGACGAAAGACCTGGTGGTGTTATCCAGGTGAAGATCATCCGAATCGATGGTATTGCGGAAAGGTGCAACTGCTCGAGGAATCCGGTGAGCACCTCCAGGCATAGGAGGTCCCTCGCGGATGAAGTCGATGAGGTCCGAGGTCTGAGATCCTTTTGTCTCAGCAGACCGAGCTTGAAGCTTAGGTCGGTTTCCACGGGAGGCAGTGGAAAGAGTTGATGGAGGGCGAGCAGGCCGCGCGCTCTCGGCAGAGAGAGAGGTCTTAGACTCGGATGGCCCACCAGGAGGGCCGGTCGATTTCATGAAATCCGCAAAGTCGCGTGTCGAATCCGAGGGCGCGACTCGCGCGTCCCGCGCCTGCCCCATCTTGCTCGACCTCGAAGTTGATGACATGTTGGTCAAGCGCGTAGTAAGTGGGATGTGCTTGGGTGACTCAATGGATTTGGTGTGGGAGATTGGAGACATCTCTCCGGTTGTCCTTGAGGAAACTGAAGGGTGAGGGCGGTGTTTATCTTCGCCTGGTGGTGCAGTGGTATTTAGGAAATCAGCCAGGTCGGAGACGCCTGCCGTTTCTGATCGGGGAACTGATCGGTTGCTCGGGTCAGGGAAGGTCATTTCCCTCACACTTCGAGGAGTGAGGGTGTAATGGATAGTTTCATCACTGTTGATCAACTTGTCCAGATCGGCAATTTCGTTGTCTACAGAGTCTACGCTCCCGCCAGATGTGCGGCTTGTTTCAGACGAGCTGCGCATGCGGGGCGAACCAGATTCGCCCTGTGGTCGACTCATGATACCCTTCAACTTGTTGGACACCTGCGATGTGGTGGAGCCGGCAGTCACTGGACGCGTATTCTCGCGAGAACTGCCGAAGCTCCCAGACCGACGCGTTTTGCTGATGATAGATGAAGACATCGATGGCCGAGACATGCGCTGAACAGCCGCTCGTTCAACTGCCGAGGCGGATGCGGAAGAGGTTCGATTGCTGCTTGTGACCTCCAACGGAGCAGGTCTGGGGCGAGTTTTCGATCGTTGCGAATTACCTGAACCAGAAGATGGGCGAGGGATGTCGGCAGTGAGAGATTTTGAAGACTTTGCCGTTTCGGTGCATTCCTCTGATGGCCGAGTCGACGGGGTGGTGGCCATGGTCATGTTATTTTGATTATCGGTTGCATCGTGATCGATACAAGATATGATAGCCTCGAGGGGGGGTGCGGGTGGAGCCGGCGTGGCCTCAACCCCTTGCATTTCAGAGTCGCTAGTTTGGTCAGAGATCGACCTTGCATTCAGTAGACCGGCATCTCTCGGGGATTGGCGTTTTGGTCGGTGTATCCTCGAAGTCAATTTAGGCTTTTCACCTAACCCAGTGCCCTCAATCACTTCTGGGTCTTTCTGATTCGACCGATCGCCCAAGGATACGAGAGAGACGCGAGCACTATTGGATTGATCAGTCATAGCATCTTCATCTTGTGATATAGCGCGCAAGGATGCAATCGTCTCGCCGACTGCAGGAGACGCCTCCTCTTCTTCTTCATGCAAGATCGACATTCTCGTATTTTCAGAAGCTTCTGCTGCAGGTTCGAATGATGGCGCCTCTTCGTGCTCTGGCGTGGCAGCAGGGTCAGGGGTAGTTTCAGCTGCATCCACATATTCTGCCGATTCATCATCCTCGTACATAGTCTCCAGGTGCTTCTTCTCCGATGCGGTAGGTGACGGGTGGTCAGTTGGCGACTCTAGCTCAGCGGACTCAGGTGGGGGTGGCCCGTTGGGTAGAGACCTCGTACGAACATGGCGGATTGATTTGCCGGGTTCAATAGCTGACGCACTCACGGGCGAGCTGTTTGCTGAACCTGGAGATTTTGGCACAAGCGAGGGCGATGAAAATACCATCAGACTGCGCGGTCGCACCTTGTGAGCAACAACGGCCTCCATGGTCTGTATATCTCCATCTAGATCGCCAATGTAGCCGGGGACCTCAATCTCTTGAACGTCGTAATCGCTCATCGGCAAGGGGACAGTGGCAGGATCGAAAGGCGGGGGAACCGGCACTGGGAGAGGCTCCTTGGGAGTCACTGGTTCC